GTAACTGTGACGCCACCGCCCTCTCGATAAGTTTGCCTAAATAAGGCAAATTGGACACCGGCCGATAGTTGGCCAATTCGGCCGGGTCCAAAGATGGTTTTTTCAAGAGAGGGCGGACCATCGCTTCCTTGAGTGCTCCAGGGAACCGTCCCTCCATGAGGGATTTGTTGACAATCTCCCGTAGAGCACCTCGCATCCCCCCATGGCCAGCTTTAATCAGCCATGAGGGGCACGGATCAAGGTCGCATGTGGTTGGGCGCACAGATACGAACAGCCTGTCCGCTTCCTCCAGACTGAGTGGGTCAAAACACGCTAAACCCGGCTCCAAAGACGTGCAAGGGGCCTCAAGTTCGCTAACTGTATCAATTGTGGTGGGGAGGGCACGGCGGAGTGCCGAGACTTTATCTGCAAAATAGCTCGCAAAAGCCTCACAGCCAATGTCCAATTCCCTAACATTTTCCTTGCCCTGAGGCAGAGTTGTCAAAGACCGAATTACTCTAAATAATTGGGCCGGGCGTGAGCTAGCAGACGCAATCGAGGCCGCATAGAAATCTTTCTTTGCGGCCTTGACTGCCATCCCGTAGGCTTTCATAAGCGTCCTATAGGATGTTCTGGACACCTCGTCGCGAGCGCGACGCCACCGTCTCTCTAGCCGTCTCAGTTCTCGCTTCAGCGAGCGCAACTCCTGCGTATACCAGGGAGCTCGCTTATCACGAGCGCGGAGAGGGCGCCTGGGAGCGATCTCGTCGATAGCTGAGGAGAGCCGGTCATTCCAGTCCTCCACCAGCTCTTCCAACGAGTCGCCAGGGGGCCTCGGGTCCCACAGAGCCATCTGGAGCCGCACAGGATCCATTTGGCTCTGCGGGCGAGCCAAAATCTGCTCGCCACCTAAACAGGGTCGGGGTGGGACATTCAGACGGGCCCTCAGGGCATGGTGATCCGACCATGGTACTGCCGAGGCAGTAATTCGGTCCACCGTCACTCCCGCAGCAAAGATCAAATCGAGCGTGTGCCCGCCCCGATGCGTGGGAGCCGAAACGACCTGGGAGAGTCCCAGTGCCTCCATGGATGACACTAGGTCCATAGCCCGGCTGGAGGCCGCGTTCTCAGCATGGACGTTGAAGTCACCCAAGACCAACAGCCTCGGGTGCTCCAGCGCCCAGCCTGAAATGTTTGTCAAGTAATTGCCCTTCAGACAGTTTGCATGAAATGTCACAGAAACCTGTAGGTCATTGTGGATTGGGGGAACAAAACAGCAGTAAAAAGGGGGCCCAGCCCTCTGGCAGAGGAGGGAGGAGGAGGAAGGGAAGGCCTGGCCCTGGCCCCCATTGGAGGCAGGGAGGGAAGGAGCAGGCTCACAGGAGTGTCCTCCTATCTCACTTGAGGTGAGGGCAGCCATCTCTTGTACAGTAGCTCGCAACCACCTCACGCAGGAGGGGACTGCTGACTTGCAGGGGTGGCAGCGACTGCCCACCTAGTGTGAGGCAGGGGTTCAGGCTTGCAGCAGCAACTGCTGCCTGCCTCATGTACTGCAGGGGTCATCAGCTTGCAGTGGCTTCTGCTACCCCTTGCATAGGGCTGTCCATGGTTTAGAGTGGCCTTGCCGGGGGGGGGGGTAGCCCCCAGGCCATTTCCACTGGGGCTTGTCATGGGAGCCTTAATGGCCAAGCCACCCATGGGACCCTGAATACCATATAAAGATATACTGAGTTTTTGCTTCAGCACCTCTTGCAATTAAAAGGGATTGTGCCTATTATCGCTACTGTTATATTAGCACATTTTTTTTTCCTGTGGCTGTCTCATTTAGAATAATTGTGGAACTAATTATTAGGTGTGCATTCACACAGTGATTTTGAAAGGCAATGGATGTGCATCCAATACATATGTATATCCCTTGCAGTTCATATGCTATTATTCCATTCTGTCTGTTTCCCAGCTGTTTCCTGCCAGACCACATTACAGGCTGTGGTAATGCCTGCATCATCGTATCTATCTGGGCATGGTTAGAGACAGAAGAAAGTTTCACCTGGCCTAATACATCAAAGACTTGAAGTAGGGCCAGGGCTCCATGCCTATTTACTGGTCTTTGCAAAGAGAAAGGGATATAATATGCTGTCATACTATACTTACTCTGACTGTATGGTAAAACACTAAGCCTATCTGCTTAAGATACAGTAGTAACTATTTTGCTTGAGACATGTATGTCCATAAGTTAGCAATGTTCTTTTGCTTTCCACAGTATGATAAATTGACCAAGATGGTTAAAGATTTTCAGCCATTCTATGATCTCTGGACTACAGCATCAGATTGGCTTCGCTGGTCTGAAAGCTGGATGAATGATCCTCTTTCTGCAATTGATGCAGAGCAGCTGGAGAAGAATGTCAACGAGTCTTTTAAGACAATGCACAAGTGTGTGAAGCAGTTCAAGGATATTCCAGGTAATTGCAGAATCTTTTGGCTCTGGAGAGTGGTGAGATGGACATTTTAGGCTTCTTTTTGTGGTTTTAATTATCTCATTATATGTGTGAAGTGAACTGGTATACTATGATAACATAACAGCTCTACAAAGTGTGAAACTGGTTTCAAGGAATTGCAAGATCTTCTTCGTGGTCTCTGTGCTTCACACCAATGGGATCTAGTGCACCTGCGCTGGATCTGCTGGTGCCTAGCAAGCTCTCTTAAAAGGATTTTCGTGCCTGGCCCAACTGAGCATGCTCAGGAGCCCCAGTGAGCATGCCCAGAAGGGCAGGCACGGACATCCCGCCAGTTCTTTCCTTACCGCCGCGCTGAGCAGACCTGTCTTCGAGAGGTCTGGCCGGATCGCTGTCTTTTTGTCACTTTTTAGTGATCAGCTCTCGTTTTTCCTCTCAGTTTCTCTTCTGTTTTCCTTTTTCTTACCGTTTTAAAAAAAAAGGAGACTTTTTGTTTTTCGTCGTCTGAGGTAAAATTTCCCCAGGCCTTCGGGCCCCTGCCCCCCCCCCCTGTCGCCGGTCTTTTTCTCCTCAGTCTATGGAGAAGAAGAAGACAAAAAAGTCAAAAAAGTGGGGATTTTTCAACCGTTGTCGTACTTGTGGAAGTAAATTGGCTCCTCCAGATGGCCATAAGTACTGTATTTTCTGTCTTGGGGAGACCCACAAGCCAGACTCCTGTGAACATTGTGCGCAGTTTTCCAACCAAACTCGGAAGAACAGAGCGGCACGTTTAAGAGTTTTCCTCTTGGAGAAAGCGCTTCAACCGATGGCTGACCCGCCGGTTATTTTCGCCTTCGCCATGTCTTCCGCTGCCGACGCATCGACATCGAAGCCGTCGACGTCGAAGGTTAAGTCTGTGTCCGATACCGAGAGGTCGAAACCGAAACCTAAGGTACCGAACATTCCTTCCGCAGC